GCAGAGTTAGGCAGGCTGTCAAGTGGATCTGAAAGTCTCCGCCAACCTAAGAGAGACCTGCAGAGCAAAGATGGACCATTAGAGAAGTCCTACAAAGGACTGAAATGGCCAGGCTTTAGAATCCTCACTGTGTTCAGTCATTGGCTAGAGGCTGCCCCAGCAGAGCACGGTCTTGGTTCAAAGACTGAAGCAGATCCTACAGGCACTGTAGCTGGAGGCTGTCGGCTAACTGTCCTCACAGCTGAAAGGTAAATTCTTTCTTGAAGGGAACATTGTGTAGTGTCCCTTGCTGCCACAACCTCCAAGCCTTTCTAACCGCCAAGAAAATGCCCAGCATGGCTGTATCTAGGCAGATCAGCATTAATGCGAGGTGTCACCTTGTGACACTTCCAAGACAGGGTTTGCAAGTCGGGCTGGTTTCTTCTGCCTTACAAGGAGTGGAAGTGAGAGTGGCTCCCACCCTGTGCTGTTGTATTTTTCTCTTCAAACATTAGCCCAAGTTTCACCCTCAGTTGTGACATATATACTGAATATGCGTCTCCATGTTTACCCTTGGATCTCGAAGCCTTCCAGCCAGGAAGGTAAGGAAATAAGATGTTGACAAGATATACAATGAGTGGGCACATATAGACACTGGGTGTATGGGCAGCTAAGTCTCCTTCAGGTTTGGCTCTAAGAATGTACAACACAGCAATTATACTACTCACTGCCATTTGTAGAGTGCCTGCAATTTTAATATCATGATGGTTAAGAATCATAAAGGCCTGGTTTTGAATCCTGTTATTGGCCTTGGCAAGTAACAATCTCTCCGAGCCTCGATTTCCTCATTGGCAAAATGGTCACAGCAATAGTATCTATTTCCTAAGGCTATTGTGAGGTCAAATGAGACAATAAAGCATGTGAGGTGCTTAGCATAGCCTGGCACATATAAGTGCTTAATGACGGTCAGCTATGTTCTTTTTTATTTTTATTTTTTATTTTTATTTTTATTTTTATTTTTTTATTGCAGTAACATTGGTTTATAACATTGCAAAAATTTCAGGTGTACATCATTGTACTTCTATTTCTGCATGGACTACATCATGTTCACCACCAAAATACTAATTACAACCCATCACCACACACATGTACCGAATTATCCCTTTCACCCTCCACCCTCCCCCCTTCCCCTCTGGTAACCACCAATCCAATCTCTGTCCCTATGTGTTTGTTTATTGTTGTTATTATCTACTACTTAATGAAGGAAATCATACGGTATTTGGCCTTCTCCCTCTGACTTATTTCACTTTGCATTATACCCTCAATGTCCATCCATGTTGTCACAAATGGCTGGATTTCGTCGTTTCTTATGGCTGAGTAGTATTCCATTGTGTATATATACCACAGCTTCTTTATCCATTCGTCCCTTGATGGGCACTTAGGTTGCTTCCAAGTCTTGGCTATTGTGAATAAGGCTGCAATGAACACAGGGGTGCATGTACCTTTGCAAATTGGTGTTTTCAAGTTCTTTGGATTAAAAAATGGGCAAAAGACCTGAACAGACATTTCTCCAAAGAAGATATACAGATGGCCAACAGACACATGAAAAGATGTTCAAAATCACTAACTATCAGGGAAATGCAAATCAAAGCTATGTTCTTACTATGTACCAGGCACAGTACAGACGTTATTTAATTGAAGCCTCACGATAACCTTGCAATGTAAGTATTATTATCTCCCTTTTATAGATGAGGAAGTGGAGGTTCTGGTAGAGGATTAATAACTTGCTAAAGGATCATACAGCTAGCAATTGGCAAGTCTGCAATTCACCTCCAGGTCTCTGACTCCAGAGTCCAGACCCATTAGTTCACACCACATTATCTTCTAGAGTTTTCCTAGGCTGCTGCCAAAGGGATTCTGCAGGCTAATAACCAGCATGGGGCAGAAACAGGGTTTGGGAGTGTTCTCAGCCGGCTATCAGCTAGGTGAGAGAGCAGCAATGGAATTAAAGCCATTTATTACAGTGAACAGAAGTCAAAAGAATGCATAATCAGTAAGATATTTCGGTGGTTATATGCTGGGCTAATTTATATTCCATGATAAATGATACAAGTTTGCCTTCTGCAAGGTATAGTTTTAGTGGAACCAAAGGTCCCTCTGATCTTCAAATCAAACTCCTCCTATCCCTCACACACAAAATACATGTCCGAAGAGCCAAGATTAGCGAGCCATTCCTTTGAGCTGTGGTATTGTTCCAGCTGCTTCCAGACAAAATGCAACAACTCCAAGAGACAAAAGCCAACCACCTCCACAGCAAGCTTATGAGTTAACAAACTTAACTTCAAAGCGGAGGGTGGGGCCTGAGAGGATGGCTCTTAAGGCAAAGAAGTTTGGATGGGCTGGGAAGTGGGATTTGAGAGGAGCGCAGGACAGGTCCAGAGTCTACAATTGTGGGGACCTTGGGAAGCATAATAAAGGAGGGCCCCAGAAGGATAGGAGAAAGGGACGCATGGAGGAGAGAGGCCCACTCGTTCCTAGTTTTACTACTGATCTCGCCAAGATTTGTGAGAGTATGTATATTTTTAGCTACATCTCTCATTCTAAGGTGAAGGGCTTCCCTAACCACCATGCCTTCCCCCCCCCGAGTTGTTATAAATTTCCTGTCCAAGGGAGGCTATATTTTCTGGTTTCTCTCCCCTACTTTGTCCCCTTTTATTTTCAGTTGTTTGGAAAGAAACATTTCCCGAACTGTCCCTCCCCTTCCCCCCACCTAATTTCTCCTCTGGCTCCTTCTCTGGGCCTTTCTCTCCAGCAACATCCAAAGCCAATGAATTATTAGCTCTGAGATTGGGCCTGGACCATTGGGAATCTTGGGTGCCACAGATGGACAGGTGAGCGTATTAGAGAAATTGTTCCCAAAGGCTCTTTCAGAAGTGACACAAAAGGGTCAAGGGAACAAAGAGCATGTTGGCCACCTCGGGCAGCTCAGGGCTCCAAGGCAAACAGCAGCATCTACACTCAGTAAGTGTTGCAAACTCCTCTTGCTGATTTCCTGCCCTTGAGTAAGAGATTTGGAATCAAGGTTACAGTCCATTTTTTCCCCCTGGTTACAGAAAGACCTTTCAAGAACACATTTGCAAATTGCCATCCTTGCTTCCCTTTAAGATTCGCCTGAATCTCTTTTTATGGTAAAATAGCCATCTCTATCTATTATCGATCTAATCTTAGGCATTTTGCGGAGCTGGGTAAGTCTCGCAAGGGCAGTGGCAAGGTTTAGAATGAGTTTCTGCTTGTGGATGGCAGTCCCTATCAATAGATTTTACCCGAGGAGAGGGAGAAGTCAATTATCAAGCCGAAAAATATAACTATTGTATTTGTGCAGTTCTTTGCACTTTTCAAAATATTCCCACATTTGTTGTCTTATTTGATCCTCACAACCACCTGGTGGGCCAGATAGGCCAAATCTCCATTCAACAGCTGAAGACAGAGGCCCAGAGTAAGTGAATCACCTCAAGTCACAAAGCACATCAGGGGCAGGGCAGAACGTCCTTAGAATATAAGTCTCCTTTGTGTCTGAGATCAGGATTTACACCTTAGAGACCACCACAGCCTTTGTTAATCCGGGGTGGGGGTGATATGCAGATGTTTGGAGTGTTCAAGGTGGGAGGGAAAGGAAAAAAACACACAAAATTGACTTAGATTGAAATACAGTTTATGTGGTATCAAACCATGTTCAAAAGTGGTTCTGCTGGAATGCCTTCTCAATCCTCTGCTTGGACATCTGAAATAGGGCAGCCTCCTCCCTGTTTCAACTCCTTTTCATTGCCACACATCCTGTTCCCAGATTCTGCCTAAAAGCTAACTTCAACAGTTGCTTTCTTAGCTCTGAACTTGAGGTGCAAGACAAGGAATGGGAGGAAAACAGTGCTGCCCTTCATGGCCATCCACAAACATGACACGCCTGAGAGGAGGAAGTTTTTGATCATTTTTAAGTTGAGATGGCACCACTTTTTGGAAGCTGACTCTACTCCCCCTGCCTGGAAAGTGATAGTGAAAATATTATGCTTCCTGCATTTTTGTGTTTTCCAAACTGCTGGTAAAATCCAATAGGAAATTGTAAAAATCAATTCACCAGGCTATGACCACCATTTTCAAAAAAATTAATACAGTGAAATAGAAAATGCCAGAAACACATTGCGAGTAGTAAGCATGAGTTTTATTTTGGACATAAAATTTTTATTAGTTATATTTATGAATCTCTATCGTGGATTTTGACATTTTATACTTCTTACTGTGGGTTAGAGTGAATCTCTTGAAAGCCACTTATCTAGAAGATGGATATACCTCAATCCCAGATGTAGGCTGTTTCCTAAAACTCTCCATCTGACACGTTATTCCAACAACAGTCTACATTTCCCTTTTAGTGCTTCTCTAGGAAGCAAGACTGACAAAAATAGCATACTGATAGTCACTGAGAAGTCTTGTGTACAGAAAGCAAAGAAGGGCAAATATTTTATTAATAGAATACAGCAGCATTTGGTAGTTAAGTGTTTTGATGAAATATTTTTATTGTATAGGGCCAACTATTAAATCAAAAAGCCAAATATGCCTTACCATTTCCCCCTAAATGTGTATTAAGGTTATGTTAAAGCACATCCATGCTTACCCTTTCTACCCTATATTAAATCATAACAAAAATCAGCAAATCAAGTTCTCCTCTATCAAACTTCCTGCCTAATGTCAGGCAAGTCAATTTAGCAACATTCCAGAATGAAAGAACTCTTGGTTTTTACTTGACTTCTTGCTCTTTTCCCAAACACTGCACTTACCCTTTAACCTCATTGGGACTTTCTTTTTAGACACACCATACGTTACTAGGTAATTTTCCCCAACTAGAAAAATGTTGACTCCAATTCACCCAGGCACATGCATGCTTAAATAGGGTCTGTGGCTCTTCCAGCCATATGAGCTAGTCATGAAATACAAGTAACTTCGTGATAGAGCTAGAGTTATGAGTTACCAGCCTCCTTTAGAGCCTTTTACTTCCAGTAATGCCTACAAATTTAGACCTAAGGAACTCCTAACCATTTTTATCTACGCAAAATTCATTACTGTATTTCATCAATCTAAGATGCCATTGATTGTGAGACTCAGCAGTATTTTATGATGTACCACTGGGAAAAGAAAAAAAAAGCCAATTAAACTATGATTTGGCATCAATTTATGATCCATACCAATTTCAGTGATATTAAATTATGAAAACTGTGTCGTTCAAGAGATGAAATACAGTAGTTCATTTCAACAGCTGTTGCCTCTTCTCACTCCTCTCCAAGTGTCTGTTGACATATTTTTAATGTAGAATTAAAGTTAAAGGGACCATTCTTTCTGGAAATCAACTGTCTCTTGGTTTCACTGCCTACTGAATATAGCACTTTGGCTAGTTTCTCAAGGATAAAATTTCCAACGTCTCACCAGAAACTTCACTGCTACCCCAAACAGGCGATCTCAGACATGTGAATATTTGGTAGGAAAAGAGGAACAACAAAAGTGGGTTAGTGAAAAGACAAAGTCCAAGTTCTCAACGACTGTTTTAAATATTCTTTTTTTAACTTGAAAAACCTTATATTGTAAAGAAACCACTACCTGTTCTAGAGCCTTAAAAAAACCAAAAGACCTTAAAACAAGCTTGAGAAAACTTGTCACAAGGCAAATTTTATTTTATTTTTTCAAGTTACAAAAATATGTCCATGTCAAAAATAGTCTAGTCCATATAAGAGTAGTTCCAGCCATTTAAAAGTTATACAGTTTGGAAAAAGCAATTCACATACAAGTCTTAAAACATACAATTCAGGAATAGTATACAACCACTCGATTCATTTATTGCTAATTATATGCAGCTTTTACTCGAGACTGTTCTCCATAGGGGAAAGGGCAGTGTTTGAACGCTCGGTTGCTGTGAAAACTGTGGTTTTAAAAAGCCAATCCAAAATTAGAATAAGCTCACTCCTAATAGAACATAACGTGTAAGTTTTGATCGGTACTACAAGAAGGTGTGGTCTAAATTTCAGTTCCACCTCCTTCTCCTATTTAATTCTATTTTGTTAATATATCAGAAATATAATGTGTAGTTTGGTGCAAGAGTAAATGAATTACTGGTTTTCAAATTAAGTGATAAGAAACATTAACTTTGAGTTGCGATATAGAAACAAAGCCGGCACACCTACCTTAAAAACATGAATGGAAACAAGAACGGAAAAACATTTACAGTGTAACTAAAAACTGAAGCTAGATTTCTCTTTAGACGTTGAGACATGAAATGAATTAATTTGTTCTTCTGAAGTTTGGGGCTTATGAAGATCTGCTGTTCTCTATTTTTAATTTAAAAAGACAGAGTTAGCCACATAACAAGAACATGTTTTAAAACAGACCTATTTGCTCAATGCCATATGGAAGACCAAATCATAAAATTAAATAATTTTTACTTTAAATAAGTAACGAAAAGATCACGCAGTGGATAGTGTAAAACACAGGAAACAAATCAACAAATCACTTACGGGGGGTGGGGGGGCGGTAATACATAAGAGACTTTTGGCCTGAAGTTCACACGGAAGACTTCCAAGTTAAGGGTGTCCCAAAGAGAGAGCAATGGCTTTGTTCCCAACTTTCCGGTCAGACCCTACTGCAGGGTCAGGCTTATTGCTGACATTTTACCCCCTAAGTTCTGGAATAAATTGAGACATATATTGGTGGTAAACATGAGGTGAACTGGAAAAACCTTTAAAAATCATTCTTAGAACGAAAGTGACACTCATGACCATTTGGCAAGAATGCTTAGTACCTTAATGACTTAAATCCTAAAAATAGGCTACATTTTTAGGAGGTAGAAAAGTACCAAAAATTACCCATTTGGCCATCCCTCAACTTTTGGCCAACCTTGGATCTCTACATTTCTCACTCCTTATTCTCCCATTAGAGCTATTAGTCCTACTACCATTCATTACCTAAAGTTATAGACCCGGAGCTGCCAAGAAAAAGCTTTTTAAAAAGTTTTGCTTTTAAGCCACTGAGTGTATCCAACACTCAGGTATCAACTGAGAACATTTCATCCCTCTCTAGTAGATTACTTCACTTCATAAGAAAACATGCCAACATAAAAAACATTACTTAATATGAAAAAAGACTACTGAACATCTCTACATGCAATTCTAATAGGTCAGAGTAGTTATGCAAACCTAAATTAGTAATGTTTTCATTGAACTGATTTGAAAAAACCTTACATTAAAACTACATTACTAGTGTTTACTGAAAATAGGTATGTATTCTACTACAAAATTAACCTAATAAGAAAAAAATGCTTCACTTCCTCCCAGAGAGTTATGTTGTGCTGATGTCCCATAAAGAGTATTATAAAAGGATTTCATTTTTGCAATAGGCTGGGCTCACAGTGAGTATGTTAGTATAGAAATCATGTGTTTAATATTACTATAATAATTTCATTAGTGAAATGTATATAAGGCATGTAAAAAATTAGCATTAAAGCTCTTAAGGGCAACGATTCAAACCAGCAGCTGCTAGAAAAGGTGCTGCCAGAATTTTAAAAACATATTAAAGAAATTTAGTTTCAGCACATAATAGTTTATAGTGCTTCCACAATGAAATGAATTAATTCACATAAATTTCTGTTGCTGGAACTAATGGACCAAAGGAGAATGGACTTTTGCCGCCTTAACTATTAGCCCAATCTTGAAAACGGAAGCAATCACTTGCGATCTTCCAGACAGTGTTGTTAGGAGAAGACTGAGCAGTCAGCAGGAAGTTCTGGTTGAAGAAGTGTTGTTTGTTTCCATCAAACTTCACAGTTCCACTGGTCACGACAAGAACTGTAGTCTGGGCCTGAGTGGCTTGCTCTTCAACCACACAAAAAAAGAGAAGAGGTTAGTTTCTATCTTTAAATAAGCAGATTTTCAGGCTTAAACTACATTGCTTATAATTGAACACTAAAAAAAGTTTAATAAACTTTCTTTACCTTTAGCATAATCTTGAGCATGCACACCCAAAGCCAGAAAATTAAACAATCATTTCAAGTATATTAAAATTATCTGTCCAGAAAGATTTTGGTTCCTCTAAAGTTTCAAAATAAAGAGCTTATACCTAGCATAGGACCATTTGGTTCCTGTATTATTAATATTGCATTGGGTTTCTAACAGAGATTTTTCATATTTTGCTTCTTAAGCTATTATTCTTTTCAAGAACTATAAAGGAAAAAAATCACTCTCAACTACTACTTAAAAAGACTTAGGACCCCACCTAGAGGTTAATCTTATCAACTGCATCAATCTACCTTGATTCAAATTCTGTCTTGCCAAAGCCATCTTGTCACATAACAGAATAAATTTTTTCTGTGAAATTTTAATAGGTTGCAAGATAATAGAACACATTAATCAGAGATATGGTATAATTTTTCTCTGGAGACATTTCAAGGCACAGAAGGCAACTATTTATTTAGGGAAAATAGATAATTGTTCCTCTCCATCAACAAATATCACATTTATGGGGCTGGCCTGGTGGTGCAGCGGTTAAGTGCGTATGCTCCGCTGCAGTGGCCCGGGGTTCGCAGGTTTGGATCCCGGGCGCGCACCGATGCACCGCTTGTCAAGCCATGCTGTGGCAGTGTCCCATATAAAGTAGAGGAAGATGGACACGGATGTTAGCCCAGGTCCAATCTTCCTCAGCTAAGAAAGGAGGATTGGCATCAGATGTTAGCTCAAGGCTAGTCTTCCTCACACACACACACACACACACAAAATCACATTTAGTCTCAAATTTCTCACATAACTTTTAATAAGCCATAATCACACAATCCACCAAAACCTACCAGTATTCCTCTGGAGTGATATGCATCTAAAAGAAGACCAAAAGTTTGATTTGACAGCTGAATTTTTCATAACATTTAACTTGCTCAAAAAAGTAATTACTTCTACTACTAAAAGCTGCTTGCTGCTTTTGGTGTTCAAGTTCAGTGCTCACTAAAGGAAAACAAAGGAAGTGCCTTAAAAGATCATGATCTTACCATGAACTGGTTGGCAATCTAACATATTGACCTGGAACTCACTAGAAGGCAACATCTCAAAAAAATTGGTCAGGGCGTCCAGCCCTGTAACAACATTTCCATTCCATACTAAAGTGGCCTTGTCCAAATACAGCCTGGTTAGTGCCTAAAAAGACAAAAAAGGGAAAGATTTTTGTTTTTCGGTATGCATTTTACAGAAATGGATTGAAAGGTTACAGGTGGTATATAAACATTTTCATAGTTCTACCTCCATCTATACTCCCCTTGCCACCTCCCACTGGAACACAACACGAACCAGGTGTCTGCCTTATAATCTTGGCCTTGAATAGATATTATCCTACTCTTAATAAACTAGGCAGCTAAATACATTTTTTTTCATGTCAGTTTAGCCACAATGAGAAAACTTTGCATTCCAAGTGGAAGAGAGTTATAAAGTTTTGCTTTCTACATTAAAATGAATTAAATGATCAAAAGTTTCAAGAACATGCAGCCCCAAATCAGTTTTAGTCTCCCTCCCTTTTCTAATTCTGAATGAAGTGGTAAACCAGGCCCTACCTAGACACTTCAATCCTAGTGTTCACAGACACGTGAGTCATTTAAGGTTTGAACCATTTAATTCTGTACGCGTTCAGAAATATCTGTCCTTTTACTAGTACTCAAATAGCATATTTAGTTCAAAAGAATCACAAGTACTTGCTAAAGCAGAGTCTTTGATAAGTAAGTTAAGGCTCAAATAATACAAAATTCAAGAGCTAACTCTTTAGTCATGGGAGTTAGGCACAGAATTTTAGTGTGCCACAGGATACATTATTTGCTTAATTCTAAAATTTAACTTGGATTAAAAGGCCAACAGATCTTGACTCGAGAAATGAACTATGTTGCCTTTTTTTGCTACTTTATTTTTGAAAGCAGCAAGGCACAATGAACATCCATTGTCACATTCCTTGCCCCTGTCCCATGTCATCAAACATCAGTACCAGGAACTTCTTTTATCTTCTGCCTTTAAAAATTGGTTTTTAGAGATAAGATATTAACTTCTGTACCTGCAGCATAGAGAAAGTTCTCTAAAACACAGTCCTCTGTTAATAAGAGACCTAGGCAAGACTCAAGCACATACTGAAATCATTACTTAGAAGCTATGGCTCAGGGATAAAGCACAAGGAAGAAAGCTGATGAAGTGAGAACTTGCTCTGTTGAAGACTGAAAATATCCAAGCCATGTGGATTTTATTTGTGAGTGCCAGCTATAGCTGTGAGCTTTAATCAGAAATTATCTATTAATATATGACATTAAAGGGGCAAATCAGGGAACATTCCCTGTAATGGCAGACCCCTTCACTAGCACTAATACGATTTTAACCATATGGTTAAACGATGGGACTAAGAAATGGTAACATATTTAAGTAAACATATGTCAGGCCCCATGTTAAGGGCAGTATTTAAATTAATTCTCACTTACCACCCTAAAAATAAAATAAGCTTAAGAGAGGTTAGCGACATGCCTAAGGTCACAGAGCTAGGTAAAGGCAAAACTGGGATATGATTCCAGAGCCCACAATTCCATTAATACCATACCAGTCCTTCCCTAAGCAATGTGCTTTTCAAAAACAAGTCCACAGCTATCACTTACCTAAGTCAGACGAAAAGCTGGCCCAAAAAAGAACCGCTATTTAACAAAGAGTAGTCGAGTCTAGAACACTCACCCGTCTTCTTTTGTCCATTGTCTCATAGTAAATATTGACAAATTCCTCAGCAGCTCTACACGCCTGGTCTACATAAGTTTTAAAATCCTACAAGAAAAATTTCATAAGTGTATATTACCACCCCTCCAACCCGTCACAAACACAAAACCACCCACAGAAGGTGATGATTTATCTCACTTTGTAGCTCCACACACAGTCCACATTCTTCCATATAAATTTGGACATCTTCAAGTTTAGGACTCAAATATTTCCGATTTTTAAAATTTTCACTATTTTTAGGTATTTATCTTTAGGACATACTCATTCCTCATTAATGAATTTGATTTTTTTCTCACTTCAAATATAAATTTATAATCTTTCCTTGACAACTGGTACTTCATTTTAGGCTTTCAGTATTTTATAAAACATTCACTTTAATAAAAATGATGCGGTCTGAACGTTAAAAAGACGGGGTGGGGTGGGGGGAATACCACTGAATAAGTTAGGCAAGTGTTGAGTTCTCAAGTGAGAAGTTATGACCATACTCAAAAGTTGTTGAATGGAAAAAAATAGGGTAAGAATAAAGTTCAAGAAACTACTTGAAAAACTTGGTACTCAAGAAACTTTCTCACGGTACACAAAAATTCACCAGCGTTTGTAAAAAAATTGTAAAAACGAGAAAAATGCTGTTGGGGTTTTCTCCCGCAGAAAAATTAAATACCTTCTTCCCCAGCCATTTACGGAGCCCAGCCTATCATCTGAATTTCTTTCCCAGGTGACTGAAAGTTATTAACAGAGAGAGAGAATCGAAAAAAGGAGATCGCAGACCATAACAGACCCCAACATTCCCGCTTCTCGCTGGTTCTCATCTCAGGGTCCTTTCCAGGATCCGAAAGTGACTGCACAGCCGCCGGCGTGGGGGGCCAGGAGGAGGGAGAGGGCTGCAGGGAGCCGGGCCAATCCCTGATTCCCCGCTTGACCACGTGACCAGCAGCCAGCCCGGCCCTGCGCCCCTCCCCTCAGCCGCCCAAGCCCGGGCGCCCCGGACCCTGCACCCGGGCACTCACCACAGACACGGCCATCGGGGTGCCCGAAAAAGCCTGTTCAGCCAGTGGCGGCGTCACTACGTCCTCACGTGTCCGGCTCCCTCGGCTGCAGGAGGAGCAAGTATTTAGGAACACAGCAAAACCCGCCAAACGCACGGAATTCTCTACCCGCCCATTCTCTCCCGGAAGTAGCTCGGTCCGTTGTTTAAAAGCGCTCCGATGTCCCAACCTTAAGTCCACTGCCCTTCAGTTCCGATCCTTCCGTGCCTTATATATTCACTTGTTTGATCCTTATTTAGTTCGGAAGAAAAGAAAATCACTTTGCTTTTGTAAACTGGACACTCTAAAGAAAGTATCCACTTCTCCCAACAACGTGCCCTGGGAGAAGCAAAAAAACTATCTAAACGATCCCATGGTGCGGGCCTCTTGGCTACAGGGGCGGGACCAAGGCTAGCAGAAGACCAACGAAAAATGGCATGAGACACCTGCCGGATCTCTAGCCTATAGAAAAAATGGGTGGAGCTTGGGGAAAAAGCGCGCAATCATACTGCGCATGACTGGTAGAAAACAGTTTAGAGTTCTGGAACATTCTGAAAGAATCGATTGTAACTGAATTAAACCCCAAAGGCTCTCCTAAAATTATTCACTATTTGGTTTTACACACTTCAGTGGAAAAGGCTCATCCAGTTCCTCCACTCTGGGCAGCATTTTCAACCGTCTAACAGACCTCAAACGAAGATTAGTCTACAGTGCCATTCACCACCTTCCCCAACCGACTAACAACCGCAACCTGCTAACAACAGCTAAAATTTTACTGAGCGGTGACTACAAGCAAGGTAATTTTCTAAGCACTAACCTATATTCACTTGTTACGTAACAATAACACTATGAGGTAATCACCTCCATTTTATAGTTCAGACACAGACTAGTTAAGTAACCTGCTTAGGGTCACAAACTATTTGGGATTCAAGCTCAAGCAATTTAACTACCGTGGCAATCTGACTTCACTCGCCAGCATCCTTTAAACCGCTCATCTCAAAGCCACCAAAAATTTCTGGGTGGTCAAATCAATTAGATGTCTCTATAGTCTTACTGGTAGTGGCTGGTGTGCGGCTCCTCGTGAAAATAGTCACTCCGTTCATAGCGTCTTCCCCTGTCTTCCGGAGACCAGTCTCTTCCGAATCTCCTCATACTTTTATTTTTTCTCCGGCTCTCCTTCCTTTAGCCTAGCGCTAGCTACAGCTAACCTCTCCACGTACCCCTCTTACTCCTCTGCTCCCCTTTTACTGGCGCGCTTCCGGGGTGTCTCGCCTTTAAAACCTCCCTGCTCTCGCGTGATCGCAATTGCTACTCGTATGCTAATAAAGCTCAACGACGCATCTCCAGCCCCCACCTTTTCTCTGAGCGCCAGTTCCGCATACGGATTTTTGCTAAGTATGTACACCAGAATGCACACCAAGCTTCTCCACCTCAGAGTCCAAAATTTAAACTCACGATTTCCTCTGTGCTTCCAATCTTCTATATTCTTTCAGTCGTCTATGCTTGAATTCTTGGAATCTTTTTATTTTTTGCTTCCCCACCCCCCCGTCATCATAATTCATTCGTCCATTCAACACGTATTTACTGAGCACGTACTATGGGCCAGGCATTGTGCAAAGTTCTGGATATAGAGTGGTGAACGAAATAGACATCATCCATCCCTTCATGAAGCTCACACTGTAATGGGAGTGCTAGACAATAAACAAAACATTAATGAATTACAGAGGAGTTCCAAGTAACTTGCTCAATTCTGCCCATTCTTTAAAGCATCATCTCTCTGTCTCTGTCTCCTCTCTTTCTCTCTCTCCTCTATCCACAAACTTTGATCGCTCTATTCTCATTTTTTCCAGAATTTTCCTAATCTTCAAAGACCTACCTTGGTCAGGTCTCAATTTACCTTTCCAGACTTCTCTCCCATTATTCACCAACATTGGCAAAGTTAACTACTACTGTTTGCCAAAAATGGCTCATGTTTCCTGTTTTATAGGTGATTGCTTTTCTTGACTGAGAGTTTAGAATGTGTCTGGTGTTATGATTTCATTGAATCCTCACAACCTCTGGAGAGGGAAATATTATTATCTAGATTTTTAAGAATTCCAACTGAAGTTCAAAGAGGTTAAGTAAGTTGTCCAAGATGATACAGCTAGTGGAGCTCCAATTTCAACCCACAACCATCTGACCCTAAAGTCTTTGCTCTTAGACACTCTGCTGTCCATGCATTTGCTTATATATGCTTGTTTTGCAGTGTTTGTTCCTTGCATTTCTACCTGCCCTTCAGGAACCAGGGAAGGTGCAGCCTTCTCCGTGAAGCCTTCTCTCGTTTCATGTCCCCTGAAACCCAAAGGATGTGACCTGTCCTATGGCTATGAGGAGTGGCTATTGGTATGGGTCAATAGTGCTGGGGACTAGATGAGTGTTTGGAGTACTGAAGGGAACAGCTTAGCTAGAGGTGGAGAGAAGGCTTAGAGTGTTCCACTGAATGTTTCCACAAAATTTTGTGCACTTTTATTGATGTGCTACAAAGGTGGGAGGCTGAGTAAACTGATAATATAGAAAACAAGGTTGGGCTCTGGTTGGTCAGAGCAGCGGATTTAAACTATATGAAAACGATGTTTAGGGGGACAAATGGGAACCAGGTAAATAAGACACAGAATTATTCTTCACTAGATAATTGCACATGTGCGGGAAGTGGGGAGAGTAATTAGGAAGGGTGTGAAAGGGCTTTTCTGGGAACACAGGACGGCATCTTGGTAAAACACATTGTTTGCACCAGTCTGGGTTCAAATCCTGGCCATGCCATTGAGTAGGTCTGTGACCTTGGCTAAACTATCTAACCATTCCATGCCTCAATTTCCCAATGTGTAAAATGAAAATAATAGTATTAATACATATTTTATAGCATTGTTATGAGAATTAAATATCAGTGCCTGTCATACAGTCCCTGCTTGAGGAATATTATTTTCCTACTCATGGCAAAGGACATTATGCTGCCATCTATTTGAGAGTATGAAGTTGGGACAGATTAGATAACTTTTGGTATATTGAAAGGCATCGCTATAGGTCAAAAGAGAGTTGGAGGCCTCGGACAGGAGACTGTAGGAGCAATAAATTGGGTTGATTAGGATTCCGCATGGCTGTGCTGTGTAGACCTAATGGAATTAAAGGTGTTCACATTTAGCAACATCTCTATCTGAATGTTCACCTTGCTCTGGACTTGAGAAGAACTAGTCTAGAACAATCAGGGAAGTGATCTGAGCAGTCAGCCCCTTCCTCTCAGGTCTCTAATTAGCACCAGCCTGTTCACGTTAAGTCTCATGGCTCTACCGATTAAGTTATCCAAGCATATTTGGCCTGTTCACATTAGATAGCGCTGTTAAAAACAGCTTTATTGAGATATAATTCACATGCCATACAATTCACCCATTTAAGGTGTGCAATTTAGCGGTTTTAGTATATTCACAGAGTTATGCAAGCATCACCACAAAATGTTGGAACATTTTCAATGCCCTGAAAAGAAACTCCTTTCCCATTAGCAGTCTGTTCCCATTCCTCTTTCACTTCTGCTCCGGGCACCACCAATCTACTTCCCGCTTCTATGGATTTTGCCTATTATGGACATTTCATATAAATGGAATCATGTAATATGTGGTCCATTGTGTCATAACATAATGTTTTCAAAGTTCATCCATGTAGTAGAAAGTATCAGCACTCCATTCCTTTTAATTTCAGAATAATATTCCATTGTATGGATATAACACATTTTATTTACTCATTCATCCATTGGTGGACATTTGGGTGGTTTCCATTTTTTGCTTATTATGAATAATACTTCTATAAACATTTGTGTACAAGTTTTTGTATGGACATATGTTTTCATTTCTTTTGGGTAGATACCTAGGAGTGGAATTGCTGGGCCAATTGTTGGGTAACTTACATCTTAAAAAACAAAATTCAACTGAGTAAGTTTTGAAGATCTTATTGGCTTGATTCAATGATTCATGAATCTGGCAGCATCCAATCCAGCAGATAGAAAGGAGCTCTAAGGAGCTATACAAAATGAAAGACTTTTATAGGCAGAAGGGAGCAGGAACAAGGAAGTTATACTAAGTAAAAAGTGGGTTGGTTATTGCAAGGTTACCTTCCTTTAGGGGATGGCAGAGGTCTATCAGGCAGATCACCTGACTAGTGCTGATCAGGTGATTCCTGATTGACTGTTCTAAGATTCCATTTCTGGGAGAGCCAAAAGTGTAATTAAGTTAAGTCTTGGTTTGGTGATGTGGGGCTTAGCATAAGTGACTCCATGTTGGGCCTGTTGTCTTGTTTTTAACACGTTTAATGTTTTAAGGAACTGCCAGACTGTTTTCCACAGTGGCTGCCCCATTTCACGTTCCCACTGGCAATGCATGAGGATTCCAATTTCTCCATATCCTCACCCATACTTGTTATTGTCTATCTTTTTTATTATAGCCATCTTAGTGGGTATGAAGTGGTGTCTCACTATGGTTTTGATTTGCATTTCCCTGATGCCTAATGATGTTGAGCATCTTTTCATGTGCTTATTGGCCATTTGTACATCTTCTTTGGAGAAATATCTATTCAGATCCTTTGTCTATTTTTAAAATTAGGTGGTCTTTTTATTATTGAGTTTTAAGTATTCTTGGTATATCCTAGATACAAGTCCCTGATGGGATATATGATTTGCAAATATTTTGTCTCATTCTGTGGCTTGCCTTTCACTACTGTGGAGCTGTGGAGAGGGGTATGGGATAGGTGAGCAGGTCAAGTTACAACATTACAAACCCTGCGGTCCTTATGGACGTTCAGCAGTTTTTCTTGAATAAATGCTCCTCACGTTTTTGCAAGTGTTTGCTTAATTTCTAGTGTTCTGAAAAATTTAATGTTGACAATTTTTGCCAGTGTTTTCGTTTTATGGAGGGGTGGATTTACGGAGGTTCTCACTCTGCCATTCCAGAAGCCCTGGCTAGATAGTACTTTTGTATATCGTTTAAAAGATATTACTATAGTCTGACTTTTATGACTTATATATTTATATTCTTTAATCGATTTTAAGTTCCTGGGGCTAACATTACGTGTTTTTCATATATTAAACACTTACTTATACCACTGGCGCTGAGTAAAAATCTTACACAA